AACTGCAACGGAGTCTCAGTTTCCCTATCTATATGATGAGGTAACTACCTGCATTACTTATCTAATTGTACTGAAGTAGGGATCAAATGAGGTAATGAACATAATATGCTTTATAAAGTACTATGAAAATATCATCATGATTACTGATACTGTTGGCTGTGAAAGTAATCACACAGGGTTATTGCTACTTTTCTTTTTTCTTTTTCTTTTACTTTTCTCTACAGTCATCTGTCCTTTAAGAATTTAACCAACAGACATATGTAGTTCAAAATTTGTTTAGGAATTCTAGATGTGGATTCCTAAATCCATCTTCTATGGGGAATGGGAATGGGAAATTGTTCAGTTCTGTTCAATGCAACGTAGTAAGCACCTGCTATGTGCCAGCCACTATGCTATGTGCTGGGGAGATATTCGAAGACAAAAATGAAACAGCCCTTTCCCTCAAAGCCCTTTCTATTTTAGGTGATACAAGATGTACATAATTAAGGACTGCAAATATATATATATATACATATACATTAATACAAAATCATTTTAAAAGAGAAAGAGCACTTATAACTTGAGGTATCAAGAAAGGCCTCATGTAGGAGGTGGCACTTGAGGTCTGCTTACAGTGTTGGAAAGGTCTTGTGGCCCACACTAATCATAGAAAGTGACTGATTTAATTTCCCTGCAAGGGTTCCCCACAGCCACCCTTCAGAGTAAAGTGAGTCAAAAAGCATAATTGGTGCCCTGGAGTCCACTACCACTTTGGTTAACTGAAAAGCAATAATGTCTTTTCTGTGCAGTATACCTTTTCTGAAATGAAAGAAGAGACAAGAACAAGCCATTCAGGCTACTGCTGGGTAATTTCCCACTGCTCAAGTGAAGAATAAGCTCGTGTGGAAGGGAATTTTGCCACAGGGCATCCCAGAGTCACTGGGCTATGTTACTGAAAAAAAGGGCTATGCCTGAGCTGTTGTTAAATAATAAAATTTCAGAGGTGAGGAAACTGAAACCTGAAGAAAATAGATGCTCCTTCAACAAAATAAAATAAAATAAAAATAGTATGATAGAAAAAGCGGCAAAATGAAATTATGAATTTTCTTTAGTTCCTAAGATAAATATAAAAACCAGTCAAAAACAAAATGTTATCAAAACAGATAATAAATCTAGGAATGTCTTTTTTCTCTCTAAGATATATTTAAATCAGTATATGCAATGGATGCCAAACAAGAAATTCTTAAATATCACTTTAAAGAAGAAAGTCTATGAAAACGGATATCATCATTAGAGTTATGCCACGTGTTTTCAAGGGATCTTCTTTAAATACTTGGAGTGGCATACTTCCTCTATGCCCACCATTTTCTTCTGGCTTCTGCTTACTTTATGACTTAATGCATCATTTATAGGAGTCCATCTCTCAGAATTAAGTGCATTATTCTTTCTGTTCCAGGACTGAGCTTAAAGTCAAAAGAAAGAAGCCTAACAGAATCATAGGTGGTTTTACATTTTTTTGGTCTTTAATCTTCTATCTTTTGGTTTCTAAAATATATGACCACTGACTAAAAATAAAATGTTAAAACTAATAGTTGAATGAACAATTTAGATTTCAATAGTAAAAATGACAGCATATTCCATCTGCAGTGAACCACGTGCAAGTGGTTTGTGAAGTAAAGTCATATAGCAACTGTAGTGAAATTGTGACTGTATTTTTGCTTTCAATTAATCATACATATCATTACTGGATTATGAGGAGATAAAGAACACAGAGAATTGAAATAATATATTCCTACCATCACTTTCATTTCTAAAAAACTAAATAAATCTGTATTTTTGGAATAAACATCCTTCAGAATGTTGAGTTAACATAACAATAGAGATAAGGCAGAAAGCATTCTTTCCCAAACATTTTCACTTTATTAAGCAAAGAAACCTTTAGGATAGGTCTTAGAGCTTAACTGAGGTGCCATGAATTATTAATGACTCAAAACCCCTTCTGTTGCTTTTATAGAAACTTGATTTACAAGTTGAAAAATCAAACTGACACTTAAGTCTCTTGTACAAATACCCAACCTTTAAAAATGCTCTGGGCATTATAAATACATTTTTCATGAATATGGCTATAACAGTTCTAAAAATAGCTTTTAAAAACGGAACTCCTCCAAGCCATTGTTTTACACATAACAGGAGGAAACTCAAGGGAATGTCAAAGCCAAAAGTATTTAAAAACCAAATAATAAACTTTGGATATTGTTTTTTTATAAAACAATAATCGTATGCACTAGAGGTCACAAATGTAGCAAATCACTGAACTTGGAAAACTCTTCTTCAAACCAGCCTTGGTAGCCAAGAAGCAATGCTAGTAATTGGTATACCTCAGAGTCTCAAATCCTCCAGGCTCATCCTGGGGCAATTCCACAATCCCAAAACAAAAATGAACTTTAAATGAATTATATCCAGACCATAACTCCATACCCTTTCTTTACCTACTCGCACAATCACATGGCTGAAAGAATGCCATTCTTGTAAGCACAGAAAATATTTTTGCTCATGAACAGCTTAACCGTCAATGAATCCAGATGAGAAAAAGTTCCATGTTAATACCAACACAGAGATATATATTGGCTCTGAACCTCTAGGTTGAGAGTGGAATCAGGGCAAAGATTTAATTTGCAAACAACCCTTGCAGTACTCCTCAAAGGGCATAATAAATCAGAGTAATTTTCTCTATTTCTTTCACAAATCAAGGTTGAATTAAGACCAGATGTGGAGGGTAGTAGTTATAGCACGTAGGGAAGGTGAAAAAGTCAGTAAGATTTATCAGTGGTAAGGGGATCAATAAAGGAAGTAATACCAGGACATTATCCAATTCACTGTATAACTGTGACAATATTTTAATTATTACACCTGAATCCTGGTCTCATTTGACTCTCCCACTACTCCTTCCCTACTCTTGCAAACTAGCTCTCTTCCTATAATGGTAATCTCTATGTATACAGAGAGTTCACAGAGTTTTTTCCCTCAGTGTAAAGTAAAATGGAGGACAACAGGAATTAACACCTAACCTACAGTCAATTTATTTGAATATTCTTGTTCAAGGGTGGCTTTCTACCCTGATCCCAATTAATATAATCACAGAAGTCTCAGATATTGGATTGAATCAGTCAATCAAAAAATATGATCCAGGTATGAATAAGCCCTCAATCAATTCAAGAGGATTATAGGGTTTTGACCATTGGAGGAAAGGCAGATACGGCGCACAGGAAACATCTTATTGAGAAGATCAAATAATACCTCTTAGACTGTAAATAAAAACAATAAAGAGCAAACCCATTAAATCAGTTAGTTAAGCAATGAGTAGTGTTGAAAGAGTTCCACATCAGAGGTTACAGCCAATTCCTCAAGAGGCAATGGCTTTTGGTGGGTGGGGGGGGGGGGTATGAAGAGAAGGAAGGTGAGTATTTCTCAATCTTCTACCAACACTGCTCATGTTATTAGAGAGTCTGGATCACTAGCAGTGACTCTAGCTAGGATAACAGAGATGGTACCAGTAAGAGACCACATATCTAGCTGGGAACAATAGTCATTTCAGGGAGTGTGATCCTCCCCCCCACCATAACAGACAAAAGTGCAGCAACGTAACCTACAAAAGTACTGATGCTTGTAACCCAAAAGAAAGAACTTCATGAAGGCTGTATGAAGAAAAAAAATAATTTCCAATAGCCAAGGTGTGTTACCCCTTTGCCATATGTGTTCTCTGCAGATGTTCCTTACTGTTTTTAAACTTTAATTTGTGCCTTTTCTCTCAATAGGCCTTGTGTAAAACTGTAGGAGAATATACCCCATACTTACATGAAAATTGTTTTTTGTAACTATCATATGAGTAAATACCTTTGTTAAAAGTATTTGCTAGATGATTGTTATTGAGAACAATACTGGTAGGGGCTTATAAGCATGATAATAGAAAGTCAGCCCCTTCAGGTTCCTCCTAGAGTCCCTTGAGGCAATTACAGTGAGATTTGAGGAATTATCATGAGTGGGGTTGCTACAATTATCATACTGCCTAATTGGCTACTAAATCTAAACAACAGTAATGTATCAATTCAACTTTGCTTAATTCAGCATGGATTATCTTTAATGGATTATTTTATAATGTATGTGAATTATTAATCCTAAACTCAGAGTACAAAAGCAAAGATGCTTTGTTAGAAAATCTTCAAAAGCTTTTTGAAGGTTCCTGCTAAAGACAAAATGAAATATGCACTTTATTTGATGAAAGTGTATGAAACACTTCCTATATTGGTTCACCTGAACAAATTACCAAGGTCAAGTTCTTATTGAATCCAGCAGGATAATTTAATAAAAAAGAAAGGAGGAGAGAAAGGTGTCAGTCAAGGGCATTTTCATTAATGTTAGTTTGCCTAGTGTCTGGATTGGCAAACCTCCTGGGTTAGCTCACATTCTTTTTAGTCATTCCACTCTTTAGGTTGGAGGTAGGAGGGAGATGCTATGGGAGAAGGAATCAATAAGCAATAGTAGGTACAAAACCTAATTTAACCAGATTTTTATGTTCATAGCCCTATAAACATATGAACAGCAGTAATCAAAATAGCACATTATATAGTCATTCTGATAAATATGTAGCATCATTTCACCTATTCTTTTCTGATAGAAAATTCAACCACAGAATATGCAGAGATTTATTGGAGTAAACCTATTTTATAAATAAGTACAGAGTTAAGATTTAAATTCAGAATCCAGACCCTAGATAATCAACCATTCTGCTTCAACAGATTGTTAAATCTTAACTACTAAATGTTTTAATATTTCCCCCCTAAAAGTTCATAATAGGCACCAAAAACTGGGAGTATTATTCAAAATAGGAACAACATCAACAGATTAAGACTCCATCCAGTCTACATATACATGTGAATTTTCCAAAAATTGAAACATCTTTAAAAATGTTCCATCAATTGACCAACTTTAGATATTTTAAAAGAAGGTATTACATATCTTACCTTATTCTGATCTGTCCAATAAAAGAAAAATCCTTGTGGATCAGTCCTCAGAATAATTGGAGTAACAATAGTGGAGTCCTGGAAATGAAAGAGCGAAAAAGATAGTATGTAAGACACTAAAGTCATAGTACTGTATTTTACTTTGGAATTATTTTGATACTCCATAATTGCTTAAAAGACAGCCTGAACTTACCAATTATGAGAAGATATTACCAAATTAGATGTGATTATTTATGATATTAATGAATTAATATGCTAAATAATCAAAATGGTCTGCTGTAGATGGGTAAATGATAATCACTGTGCATAAAAATTATGATACAATCTGATTTGTGGCACTTTGTTTTATAAACCTGCTTTGCTTTTATTCTTTTTAACATTTTTCACAGTGCTTTTTTAACACCTGAAATTTAAATATTTTTAAATAAATAAAAATCAATGCTAGTTCATAATATTTTTAATTCTACCTATCCAAGATAATGAGATCAATCAAAATATCAGAGCATTTCTGTTTCCAAGGCAACAGCAAATAAGGACTTCTTCTATACATCTTATAAAAAAAAGAGGCCTGATTCAAATTGCATGTCCTGAAACTTTCATGTTTTTAAATAAAATTGACCTATGTCACAGTCATTATATTAAGATACTTGAAATTTATTTTCTTTCCAATGATAATTATCAGAAATGTACACCATCTGTATAAGAAAAAATATTTTTCACTGGAAACATGATGTCTCTTTAGTAGAGGTGCATTAAAAAGAAAGCAATGACCAGAATTTTTGTTATTTTTTTTGTCTTTTCATACATGGAGAAAAAATCATGAAAATCATGTTATGCTTTACCCTCCACCTGACTGATTCTTAACCTTAAAATCAGAGATCTCCATGGACCCTGAGATGCTAAGTGACTTGCCCATGATCATACAGCTAGTATCAATCGGAATCATTACTTTAACCAGAACTTACTGACTCCAAGTCCAGACTTCTACTAATCTATGCTGCCATTCCACAGGTAACTTCGGGTCAAAACAAAACAAAGTTTATTAAAATTGTCCTGGTTTCTGTGAAAGAATTTATGTGAAAGATTTTATCAAGGACATGATCAGGGTCCAGAGGTAGGCTGATTATGTGTAGGGAATTCCAAGATGATAGATGAATAATCATAACTGTGTAATGGTACTCCATAGATACTAAAAGAATAAATAAAAGGAGGCCTCTACTACAGTGAGTAGACCCTTTATTCATTTTCTCAATGCAAGCCAGGGTTAGGAAGATAAAGTCTTCACTTCTGTGATGATTAAATAATATACCATACAAGTACAATAATCAATCAATAAACATTTGTTATATACCTACTATGTGCCAGGTACTGTGGTAGATTCTGGGAATAAAAAGAAAAAAAAAAGAAAACTAGCCCCTGCCCTCAAGGAGCTTAAAGTCTAATTGAGAAAGACAGTACACTAAGGGATATTGAAACAGGTAGTCAGGGCATGGTGTTCTGTGAAGTCTAAACGAAGCAGAGTTGCTTATAGAAAATCGAGAATTACTTGGAAAGTTCTGAGTCCTCTACAAAAGAAGGTTTGGGGAGATTATTGCTCTTCTCTTTAGTCCTCCAATCAGAAAGAGAGGCAACTGAGGGAGGGGAGAAGGTGTTGACTATCAAAAGCTGAGTCAATCTGTATGGTGATAAGATTTCAGGTGCTCATGCCTGAGAGGCATGATGTTCCATTGAGTAAAAACTAAGCATGGAACATGGAGAGTGGTGGTGTAGTAGATAGAGTGCCAGGCCTAGACTCAGGAAGACTCATTTTCATGAGGTCAAATCTGGCCTCAGACACTTACTAACTGTGCGACCCTGGACAAGTCACTTCACTCTGTTTGCCTCAGTTTCCTCGAAAATCTGTAAAATGACCTGGAGAAGGAAATACCAAGCCACTCCAGTACCTTTGCCAAGAAAACCCCAAATGGGGTCAACAAAGAGTCAGATATGACTGAAACAACTGAACAGCAACGGCAAATGGAATCAAAAGACCATTCAAGATTTAGAGATAGAGTCCTTAACCCCAAGCAAGACATTTTCCTTTTTAAAAGGGAAGTATGGTGTCATAGAAAGAGTACTGACTGGATTTGGAGTCAGGAGAAATGTAGGTTCAAATCCCAACCCTCGCACCAGTTATATGACTTGGGCAAGTCAGTTTGTATCACTGAACTTCAGTCCGTTCATCCATAAAATAGGGATAACAACACTGGTACTACCTACCTTAAGAGACTGTTGTAGGGAGAGTTCTTTATAAACTTAAAGTGTTAAACAAAGTTAACTTGTTCAATTTTATTACTTTATGAAGTAAAATGTAATTTTAAAAACTCCTACCAAATAGGACAACATCATGGAGTGAAAAGGAAAAGCAGTGGATTTTGAAATCAGAAGACAGTGGCTCAAATCCTCATCTCCAAAATGAATGGCTTGGAGTGGATGAGTTCCTTGAGCATTACATCTTAGGACCCTAACATCAATTCCCCAACAGTTAACAATAGTTAAACCCTCCCTATAATGGAATACTATTTGCAATAGACATGGAATCAGGAGATCCGAGTTCTCCCTGGTTCAACTGCCAACTCAATATATCACCTTAGGCAAGTCTTTCCTGACCTTTGGGACTCAGTTTCCTTTTCTGTGAAATGGGGAGATTGGCTAACTTAATATCTAAGGTCTTTTTTAGGCCCCCCAATTAGAATCAATCCAATACAACATGTTTTTATTGAGGATCCATTGTGTGCCAAACCTTCACTAAGTTCAATGGGACACAGTAGAGGCATTCATTACTCGTGGTTTTTAAATGAATGCTGAATACATGTTGGGTATGGTACACATGGGAGTAGATGGACTCTGAGATCCTTTCCAATTCAAAAATTCTGTGATATGAGGATTCTATGAAAGATTGGTTGGAAAAAACGGGGGAAAAAACTGGGCTAGAGGTGTGGAGAATTTGAGGAAGAGGCTTTAAAATCTATGTGGATAGAAAACACACTCACACAAGTGAAATCATGAATCTTCTAAAGTATCTTCTAAAGCATCTATTTAATATAGAAATTGGTTTAATATCAAAAGGATGCACAGTAATGAAATAAAAGTTTCTGAAAATGTTTCTAGTTTTCTCTGATCAATGAGAATATTTTCTCACAATGCTGCCAGAATGAATTAGAAACAAGAGTTTTAATTCGAATCAGCTGACTTCCTACATATGAGACAAAAAAAGAGCTTCCATTAGTTGCAAAATAGCACACATGGAAACTTCTAGCTCAAATTTAAAATGAACCAGAATTTGTTGCTTAATATCAAAAGTTCCATTTCTTGCAGCATCCACACATGTAGAGAGGGATGGTTGGATAGATTTCTGAACCATAGCTTAGAATATACATCTGACAGATTCCTCTGGAACAGAGCACACCTAACAAAAACCTAATAAGGATGGATTTGTCATGAATCTAGCAAATCCAGTCAAAAAGAGTTTAGACTAACAAGGATGAGGGAAGGATATATTGCTTACAAATATCCCCTGCAGTTACCATAGAGAGTCACAAAGAAGGAAGAATAAAACTGGGAATGCCAAGAAATTCACAGGAGACAAAATTCAAGAAAAGAGCCAGCAATAAAATCTATATCCTTGACTATCTACACAAAAATGCCCAAAGTTTAGGCAAAGAATAATGGAGTGGACAGCCTTACTTCATATTTTACAAAAACAACTGAGGTCATTCACTATGAATTCCCTCTTCCCCTCTTCTTCCTCTCCTATCATTCAGGTGACTTGCCACTTTCTCCTTCTTCACCCCTGTTTCAAATGATGAAGTGACCTTACTCCTTACCAAAGCTAACCCTTCTACTTGTTCAAGTGATCCCATTCCATCTCATCTCCTCTAATAGAATATCCCCTCTGTCACCCACACTTTTGCTTATTTTCAATCTCTCTCCCTCTACTAGCTCATTTCCTTCTGCCTACAAACATGCCTATGTCTTGCCTATCTTGAAAAAACCCTCTCTTGATCCTTTCATCCCTGTTAACTATCATACTATCTCTCTTCTCCCTTTTGTAGCTAAACTCCTCTAAAAAGTCATCTAAAATAGGTGCCTCCACTTTCCTCTCATTTTCTTCTTAACCCCTTACAATCTGGCTTCTGACCTTATCATTCCACCAAAATTGCTCTTTCTAGAGTACTAATGAACTCTTAGTTGCCAAATCCAATGGTCTTTTCTCAATCCTTATTCTCTTTGACCCCTTTGTAGCCTTTGACACTGTTAATGACTGTCTCCTGCTTTTATACTCTCTTCTCTCTAGGTTTTCAGGATATCACTCTCACTTGGTTCTCCTCCTATCTAACTACTCCTTGGTCTTCTTTTCTGCATCCTTCTCCAGATCATGCCATCTAACCATAGGTGCCCCTCAGGGTTCTGAACTTGCCCCACTGTCTTCTCCTTCTGAACTACTTCATTCAGTGATCTCATCAGCTCCCATGGATTTAATTACCATCTTATTCTCAGATCTACCTTTCCTCCCCCAATCTTTCTGCTGACCTCCAATCTCCCATATCTCCAACTGCCTCTCAGACATCTCAAACTAGATGTCCAGGAAACATCTTAAACTTAATATGTCCAAACCTGAACTCATATTTTCCTCTAAACTCTTTCCTCCCACTTTCCTATTATTATAGAAAACAACACCATTCTCCCAGTCCTTCAGACTCACAACCTAGTAGCCATTCTCAATTCCTCAATATCTCTCACTTTCAACATTCAAGCTGTTGCCTAGACCTGTGGATTTCACCTTTGCAATATCTCTCACCCTCTTCTCTCCTCTGATACTGGCACCACTCGAGTGCAAGCCCTCATCACCCTAGACCTGGACTAGTGCGATAGCTTGCTGGTGGGTCTGTCTCCCTCAAGTCTCTCCCCACTCTACTCCATCCTCCATCCGGCCACTTAAATGATTTTTCTAAAACACAAGTCTGATCATGAAACCATCCTACTCTAGTGCTTTCCTATTGCCTCCAGAAGGAAATACAAAATACTATCTATAATCT